ATCAATTTGACAGACAGTGATGCAGATCTTGAATTAATCAGAAAGTCATTACACCTCCTAAAGAGATGTTTATGGATATGAACACCATATATCTAGGGCTGTCAAGGCAAATTGACCAAGCTGCTTCTGTTTAACTGCCCTGTGACTGCAGCAGGACTATGACAAAACCAAGAGCCTGGTATTCCTCTTAATCTAATGAAAGAAATGATTAGAAAAAGCATCTATAGTGATAATCAAATTGAGCCCTAAATGAGATTTGCAGCTCAGACATCAAAGCAATTAAATTATTAACATCCCAAGGCATTTTCATAAATTAATTTCCTAATTAGAGGTTATATAAATAGTACTCTACACTGGGCATCCTACTGGAGAGCTGTGTGTGGATGCAGCACCTTGAACTATAACAAAGTGTAGATTGATTTTTTTGCTGGCTGTTCCTCCTAGGAAATCTAGGGTGTTGCGCTTTCCATTGCTCAGTTTGAGCTGTGAGATACATCAAGTGGAATCTTGTCTCTCTCTGAAAGATTCATGTGATACAGAGGAAGGTCAAATTGTCTTTGCAGATATCTCAGCACTGTGTTTTCCCTACTAATGCTCCTCTTGTGATTATTCTGTTAAATATAAAAGGCAGACACTCTTCTGTTTTGTGCTGCATGACCTGAACCCAGGAGGATTTCTTATGTAGTGGGATTCTCAGGGCAGCTACTCTTATGCCATGCTGACGGCACAGTCGGAAAAAAGAGGGCATGGCTGGGCTGTCCCTCTGTCCTAGCAATCTTGAGCTACAGCTCTCAGGGGCTGTAGGCAGCGCTACAATTTCATTCCCATAGGCATTCATGCAAACACTTATCTCATGTTTTGTTGTAATCTTTCTGTTTCCTCTCAGTTTTCTTTGGCTACGCAGGGTATCTGTGTGTCTGGTTTAATTCTTCAAGATCCTTTTTCTCTCTGTGGGGCCAAGCCTGACCCATGTCCCACAGGTTGAAAACCTCTGCATCAGTGGAATTTATTTCCATTTCTAGAGATTAAATGACTGTAGTACTTGCATTAGTCACCCTCTGTAGGTCTGAAGTAACTTAACTTTGTGCCCTGCCCCCTTCCCCAGTGATCTGGAACCCCAGGAAATTGCTCTGCTTGATGCCCTGTAACATTAGCCCTGTTGTCAGTTGCATGAACATGCAAAATGGTACCGAGATGAGCAGCCCCACTGACTTCAATAGAATGGTCTGCACAGCTAAGGGCTTGTAGGATTAGGTGTGTCTTCATATCTGAATCAGCTGTCTGGTACTACAGAGACTTTGGAAAACCATGACATTACTTGTATAATCTCACTGCTGTGGATTTTGGAAGTCCACAGCTCTTGCACTTTATGCCAGTGTTTCTCAACCTTTATTTAAAAAAAAAAAAAAAAAGTACCCCTTTAAAAAAATATAAGTTCCCCTAGTACCTACAGTTCTCAGACACCATTCTTTTTTCCAACCATTGTAACACATTTGTTTAAAAAACTTAACTGTAGCCGGGCAGGCAGTGACATCCTTGGGTGTAAAAAGTACAAAAATAATAAAGCACTGTAAAACTTAAAACAAAAATTCATTTTTCTCCCAATTTCAATTGTGTTGACATACACTCCCCCCCACCCCCCGACTTCTCTCAAGTACCCCTAAGGGTACTTGTACCACTTGTTGGGAAACACTGCTTTAGGCAACACTTGGATCCCGGAATGCTGTCTAGCTTTGGATTATAAATGATGCACCCACTGCAGAGGCTGTGTTAATTCTTTCTCCAGCTCACAATTGGCTAGCACAACATGTAGTCCTCTCCTAAATGCAGAAACAGGATGTCTTTCTTATACTCTTGGTTTTCTTCAAGTTCCACCCGACTACTAACCTCATTCTCTCTCTGGTTTAAGACCTGATTATAAAACCTGATGGAAATGGGAGTCTGAAACCATTATCGTCATCCTTTAGGCATGGAGTGGCTCCAGACATGCTCTGAGGGATTTTTCAGAATGTATATTTTTAGTATCAATAATATGTTAAAGCATGCTCAATTCAGTGGCACCTGACATGTGGCAGTGATGTAGCACTTCTGCCTCTGACAAGACAAAACATTAGAACAACATTGCAAACAGAAACTAACTTTTTTTTTTTCAGATGCTTGCCCATGGCATTAGAACACTCACTTATATATGACTCCTTTTCACTTCAGGTATGTGCTAGGGAAGTTTTAATTTTATCACTGTCAATGCCATGACTCTTATTCTGGGCTGCCACTTTATTTCTATTCCTCTTCTTTTACTCCTCATGTTTAGGCCACAGCAATATTGATGTGTGGGTGCCCTAGATTAGCTTTATATTACATTTGCTACTGTGCACTTGCTAATTTACTAGAGTTTCTCCTTCTAACCTGGCATTTTGCTATACTTTATTATTCAGAGTTTTTGCTGAATACATACCAAGATTAGTGCTTAATATTGCAAATTTTATTGTCACTTGCTCAAGGACAAACATTAAATAAAAGTTAGACCCAGAACTATAACTCTTTTTTTTTTTATAAACTCTTGGCTCACTGGCCCAGACCTAACCCAATAGAATACAGTGCCTTTCAGTATCCATTGTCCTAGAGAAGAGCCCTTCGATCCAAATCACAAAAACTTGGCTGATTCTAACTCTTTTCTACTAGCTTCAGGGGGTAGCCGAGATAGTTTATAAAGTGCCTACCAGACCATTTGTTGTTTTTTAAGTGTATCCTGTACAGACTAACAAAACATGTAGATGGTATCATGAGCTATTGTGGGCACAGGCCACTTCTTCAGATAGCTGGAGTTTACTAGTCAGAAAAGAGATGCTTGAACATTATGCCATGTGGCCTTGGTATTAAGGTGCTATGAAAATGGCTATACTGAATCTTACCCAGCATACTAATGTTTCTGTATTGTGTATTGCAACACTTCTGTGAACAGAAGCTTACAAAGCAATAATGCATTCAGTGAAAGCTTAAATGCCTCACTACATAATTTTCTATACTTTACTTTCAACCATCTGATTAAACTTGACTTTCAGAGATTTGGCTCCAACCATGTTGCTAAGATATGAAATTAAGTTTTTGGATATCTGCCAAAACCATTCACTGATTTCTGCCTTGAATATTTCACTACTATGGCAGAGAGACTAGAGTAAAAGCTTTAATGAAATGTTGGGAATATTTACTTTGATTACGATGCAGAGTTCACTTCTGATTTGGTGATCAGTTTTACCTCCTGGGCCACACAGCTTCCCATTTTTTGCTGCTCAGGACTGGGTTAGAGAATGGGGAAGTGGCTGTTGGCCACCTTTATGTCTCTCTGATTCTGATCTGTTAAGGGGCTGGCTCATCCTTTGGTACAGTGTAGAGCATCCTGAGGGCGGCTCTAAATGACATCAAGGTTGCTCTTGGCTACAGGAGCCCAAATGCAGCTGGGGACTGCCAAAACACAAAGAGATTCTGGTCATATGCTCTTGTGCCAGCGGGGTGGTGTAGAAAAATCACAACTCTGCTCCAACTGACAATTCAGCTTATGCAAGGGACATCCTGAGGTGCCAGTTCAAATGCTTTCTGGCTGCTTTGCACTGGCAGTGGCGGGATGGCGCTCCCAATCCTGTGCAAACTATCTGCTAATAAACCCCCGCCACTATTTTCCTAGGACTGAGCTGGTTGAAAGTACCTAGCTAACTTGTATGTGCAAAGCTATCTCACTGCTGCCAGTGGATATGCTGTGATCAGTACGGCTTTACAGGAGTGGGCCCTCGAGTAATGTATACTTAGAACTGTGCATAAATCCACTTATATGGATTCAGTTCCAGGATTCTGACTGATTTCACACTTCTAAGTGCTTTGAAAAAACGTATCAGGAAATAAGCATTTACTGCTTGTTATGGCTTTGAGATGGTTAATAGCTCATTTGGAGTGTGAGGAAATCTGTGCCAGAGCCAGAAGAAATGGAGACTTATCTACCGCAAAACAGGTTCATGGGATGGAGTTAGCTGTTTTCCTTTCCCCTGGCCCTTGTGCAGTCAGAGCAGGTACCAAGTGCAGTGCCAGTAGGCAAAATGCTGGTCAAGTCTTCTACTAATCATGGAGACCTCTTGTAGGCTGGCTGATGTATGTCTGCCCAGGTACCTATCCACCTTAGGTCTTCTGATGTAATGGTACCTGTTTACTAGGTTCTTGCATATTTTCATTTTGTGGACTTGCTACCAAAAGATCTGATTTCCCTGCCATTGATCCTATTCTCTCCCATCTTGGTATGTGTCTGGTTGATGCTTGTGGCACCAAGCACTTCCAGAAATGTTGTCTCAACCACAATTTGAGGCTACTGAGCGACTCTACACAACAGGGTGGCCAAAACGTTCTGCTCGTGGGCAGAGGTGAAAGTAAGGCAGTGCGCCCCGGTGTGCTGCTCCGGTAAGAACCATCTGGGCACTTTGCTCATGATAAGGGGCCAGCTGGGAGCACGTTGTAGGGACCATGTGTGATCCCAGCCAGGTTAGTAAGAGGAGTTGGTGGCAGCAGATGCCTCCGTCTGGCTGCAGGGGCCCAGCTATGGCCTCCATCTGACTGGGGTGCCTGGGGACAGACCGTGGGCTGCGGGGACACCTTACAGCTTGGTTCTCCCGGCCAGTGGCCCAGCTCGGGCCCCAGCCCCTGCCTCAGTGGCCCACAGAGGATTTTGGCCGAGCTCCAGCCGTGACAGCCTAGCCAACAACACCCCAGTCAGAGCCCAGCTCTTATCTGGCTGCAGTGGCTTGGCCCCAGGATCTGGCCCCCATCCAACCATAGTAAGGGTTGTCAGCATCTGCTCCCCCTACCCCCGTCCACTACCACCACCACCACCACTCCTGCTGCAGTGGGGGTAAGAGGTGATGGATCTGGCCATGGAACCCACTGCTGCCCGGGTGCATATATCTATAATATGTAAACAACCCTTAAAAAGGACTGGCACAATCTCAAACTGTACTTACCGTGGAGGGGAGTCAGGATACATGACATTGACCTGAGAGAGAGTCTCCATGTAGGAACCGAAGTCAAAAGCTGGTGGGAACTCCTCTGTGCAGGTGGATCTCAGTTCTCCAATGGAGTCACCATAGGAGAAACCATCTGGAGCTATAAAACAAGCAATTAACACTGAGTCTCTTCTTCATGGTGGCTTCTTGGCAGCTCTGCCATAATTTATAACTTTAGTCCACCGACGAGACAGCAGGATTGTTGGTGTTCTGAGGGCAAGCATGTCTTAATTAAACCAAATGCTTCTCTGTCAAGGATGGCTAGCCTGTGCCTGACAACTACATCTAAGATGCTATGAATCATGGTGTGGGATTAGGAATAAACCCCTTGTGCTAATCTCCAAACTGTCATTACTGCCCTACCCAAATAAAATACAAGGCCTGTAACAATCTCGAATGTTAGCACCGCTTCTTCATAACAACTGAAGTTATTGGGAGCTGCCTATTTATATTCAACACTTCTGAAAACCAGATTACTTTTCTGAAAGGGTCTAGATGCCTAACTCCATGCATCTGTGGGCATGTCTTTAGTGAGGTCAGAGTAGAATGGGTGGAAATACCTGATCTAGCTAGCCTGAGAGGCAATGGCAGTGATGCTGCAGCAGCACTGGGCTAGCAGCTTAAGTACACGTCCTGGGTCCTGGATGGGCTTGTAAAACCTGTGTGGCTGTGACTGGGCAGACAAGCCCTGTACTGTGACGGGGCAGACAAGCCCTGTACTGAAGGACAGTGGGTAGCCCAGGCCCAGCTGGTGGAGAAAGCCCCACCCCGCTGGTCATGCTCCCAGCAGAGCCGGGGTATAAAAGCAGAGTGAGCCCTGCAGCCAGGGAGGCCGCAGGACGAGGGAGTAGCCCAGGCCGGGCCAGTGTTTCTGCAGCAGCTGAGACCGGAGTCGCCGCCTGTGCCTGACCTGGAGGCAGAACCAGCAGCCGCCAACCCCAGGGAGGCAGGAGCGCGCCCGCAACCCCGGCAGGTACCGATGGTAGGAAGCAGCCCAGGGCAAAGGACTGATAGAGCAGCTCAGCGTGTATCGGCCAGATTCCCCGCCGAGCGGGCAGGAGCCATAGTCCCTGCCTAAAGGGCCCTGGGCTGGGACCCAGTGGAGAGGGAGGGCCCGGGTCCCCCTACCCACCCATTTTCCCTTCCCTGGATATTCAACCCCAGTCCAGGAGAGGCTTCTCTGAGCGGCTAGCCCTCCAAAACTGTAGTTACCCTGATAGAGGGGCCTGGACTTTATGTGGAGAGTGGTAATGCCATATTTACCCGGATAGAGGGGCATGGACTTTTATGTTGGGGCTGCTAGGGTTGTATCCCCGATAGGTCCCATTGCCCACTCTTAAGGGGGGATGCACCCCACACCAGGGGCGTACCCCCTGACAGGCTGTCCATGCTGCCATGGCTTGACTGCTATTGCTTGCGCTAGCTACAACCAAGTTAGCACAACCAAGTTGCGGTGGAGACCTACTCTAAATTTGAGTCAACACCTTGCAGCAAGGTGACCACTACTGGGTTGCAATCTGTAGTTTGAAAACCATTGCCCTAATGCAGGGCTACGAGGTGCGTGGGCTGCCTCTGGCCTATTTGTTTGCGGCCCGCAGTGCGGTTTGGGTTTACGCGGGGCTCAACATGCAGCTTGCGGGTGGGAGCCAAAACAAAAAAGTAGTCAATACAATGGTCTTCTGTTGATCTGTGTTTTTAGTAGTTAAATTTCTAGACTATTAAACGTGCTCATTAAAAGTGCTGTCATATGGGTGGAAATTGGGTAAATATTGCATTTTATTCATATCAGCAGAACTGACTTTAATGGGGTCTGCGTGTTGTGTAGTCTTGCCTTAATCTTTGTATTCATGCCCATCAGTGTGAAAAAAGCTATTTGCATATATTTGCATTTATATTTGCATGAATATGCAGCCACACTTAAGTTGCGGCCCTTGGCATGTGCTGTGAGTATCATTGTGGCTCCCGGGGCTTCCAAAGTTGAGTAGCCCTGCCCTAACGCATACCGAACCTTATCTAAAAAAGCCACAGGATGTTTGTACAGATACTACTTGATCACTCATTTAGGAGAGTGCAGGGTGTCACTAAAAATACCTGGTCTGAATGGGAAGGGTGAGGTGGAATGGATTGTTGGTATAAATGTTTGTTAAAGAGGGAGGTAAACTCTGTAAGTGTTTATAAGTGGCCTGGGTACCTATTTGGGATCCTCTGCAGGTTCTCCTGGCAGTTCAGCAACACCTGTTCCTCATGTGGCAGCTAGGACTAAGGGAGCTACCCGGGGGACTAAGTAGGAAACTGAATACAATAGCAGGTTTCCAGAGATCTTATGTTTCTGCCCCACAGCTCCACCTCTAGACCTCCCCCTTCAGGAACAGAAGAAGCAACCTCAAGCTAATAACGGACAGCTTTATTCTTTCCCCAACTCTAATGGGAGTTGTCAGACCTCCCTTCCCCTGCAGGAAAGCTACTGTACATGAGACCGTCACTAGTGCCACCAAAGCAGACAGAGCTTTCAAAATCTTCAATAGTTTTCCTATGGCTTTCTATATGAACAGAAATAACCAGAACAAATTGTTCCTGATTCTCCCCTCCCTCCCCTTAAGAAAAGCCAACAAGATGACGATTTTATCTGTCTGGTTTTATTTCAGAGACACCGTCCAAAATGTGATTTATTTATTTATTTGTGCAGGTGGTTAGTCCCCAAGCAGGTGTGCTTCATGGGATGCCAGCATTATTTAGAGGCAGGCAAGGCTTGTTCTTTAGTGAGCTGACAAGAGCAGTCGTGTTTCACAGATGAGGTTTAACTCGCTGATGTAGAAAAAATGTGGATAGAAGTTAACACTGTGCACCTGCTTCTCATTTGTTAAGCTATCTGGGAGATGCACTAAAACGTGGCTCCTTGCAAGGGCCAGATTTGTAGATGATATCAACTAGCAGAGATCTATTGGAACAGTACAATCGTGCCAGTTGAGGATCTGGCCCTCGCGTGTACACTCAGTGCTGGCACCATGACTTCGATATCAGAATTAAACTAGACTTTCCTTTACCATGAACACATGCAGCAAATCTCCACAGCTACAGGGATACCCTGACAAGTCTTGTCTGAAACTCAGAATAGCGGGGTAAACTTCCTAACAGTGTTCTGAGCTGTAGCTAGAAAAGATGAGATCAGGGCTGGATTAAGGGGGGGGCGGGGCTAGCTGGACAGAGTTGGCACCGAGGTTTGTTGCATGGATTGGTTCCTGAGTTAGAGTTATTATGGTGCGGTGTGTCGTTGCTGGTGAGAATATGCTTCAGGTTGGCGGGTTGTCTGTGGGCAAGGACTGGCCTGCCTCCCGAGGCCTGTGAAAGTGAGGGATCATTGTCCAGGATGGGTTGTAGATCACTAATGATGCGTTGGAGAGGTTTTAGCTGAGGTCTGTAGGTGATGGCCAGTGGTGTTCTGTTGGTTTCTTTCTTGGGCTTGTCCCGTAGCAGGAGGCTTCTGGGTACATGTCTGGCTCTGTCAATCTGTTTCCTCACTTCCTCGTGTGGGTATCGTAGTTTACAGAATGCTTGTTGAAGATCTTGTAGGTGTAGGTCTCTGTCTGAGGGGTTGGAGCATATGCGGTTGTACCTCAGTGCTTGGCTGTAAACAATGGATTGTGTGGTGTGTCTGGGATGGAAACTGGAGGCATGCAGGTAAGCATAGCGGTCGGTAGGTTTTCGGTATAGGTGGTATTGATGTGACGGTGCAAATAAGTGATGGTCTAACTCAGGAACCAATCCATGCAACAAACCTCGGTGCCAACTCTGCCCACATATATACACCAGCAACACGATCACAGGACCTAACCAGATCAGCCATACCGTCACTGGTAATATATGCCATCATGTGCCAACAATGCCCCTCTGCTATATACATCGGCCAAACTGGACAGTCCCTATGTAAAAGAATCAATGGACACAAATCAGATATTAGGAATGGCAACATACAAAAACCTGTAGGGGAACACTTCAATCTCCCTGGACACACAACTGCAGATCTAAAGATAGCCATCCTGCAGCAAAAAAACTTCAGGACCAGACTTGAAAAGAGAAACTGCTGAGCTACAGTTCATCTTCAAGTTTGACACAATCAACTCAGGATTAAACAAAGACTGTGAATGGCTCGCTAACTACAAAAGCAGCTTCTCCTCTCTTGGAATTCACACCTCCAGATCAGCTACTAGAAGTGGGCCTCATCCTCCCTGATTGGATCCACCTTGTCATCTCCAGCCTGATTCTGGCCTGCATATTTATACCTGCCTCTGGAAATTTCCACTACATGCATCTGACGAAGTGGGTCTTTGCCCACGAAAGCTTATGCTCCAACACTTCAGTTAGTCTATAAGGTGCCACAGGACTCCTCGCCGCTTTTATTTTTTCTCTGTCCTTTTCTCTAAGGCTTTTTTCCCCCCTTCCACTTTCTGTGTTGGTATGGAGCTGAAATCAACATAGCCATTTTAATGTAAACAACATCTTACATAATATACAGCACCTTATAATGCCAAAACATCTGTGTACCAGCTTTGCTGATGATATAGTAACTGTATAGCTCAGGGATTAGAGCCCTAATTGCTGCAAAGCCAGAAAAAAAAGGAGGAAAAATAAGTCTCTCAAACAGTAGACACTGCAGTTCGAACTAACTTTGTAGTGTAGACATACCCTCAAACAGTAAACACTGTTTGTAACTTACCTCCAATAATCTACGGTTATTTGTCTCTATAACTGAGAAATGTGCATCTGTCCATCAGTGAGTCCGTTGGGTCAAGAACTCCTCTAAACAGGTAAGAGCTGGGATCACAAAATTTGGTAGGCAGCTTCCTCATCTCCTAGCCTAAAGCAAGGTCAGGGTTTGGTGGTGCCAGGATTATGAGATGCGTGTGGCTTTGTATTGTTTCATATCAAACAAAGGGAGAAGTGGGAGAGTAGGGACGTTTATATGCATGAAGGAGCAAGTGCCTTGGTGAGGAGCAGCCGTCACCACCCTGGCCTGCCCTGGGGAGCAGCTGCCGCCGCTTCCTCCCCTGAGCTCCCACTCCTGCATCTCCTGGTCTGAGCCCTAAGCCACGATCCCGGCCTCCTGCCCTCCAGGACTCGAACAAGGCCGGGTAAGTCTTCTAGTTTAATAAATATCTCACTTCTAAAAGAAGTGGAAAAATGTGAATCTAAAATTGGGTCCAAACCCCCTGACAATATTTACACAGTTGGACTGAATTATTTGAAGGAGCTGATTGTAGACACTCCTAGATTGAAAGCAAAATAAATACTACAATAAAGACGGAAAACATGGCCCCAGATGGAAGCCTCGTTGATTTAAATGGGAGCTTTAAATACTTCAGTAGACTCAAGTTTTGGTCCAATGTATTAAGTGGCCTGAGGATTATCTTCTAGAAACACAGTAAATGGCTTTTCCTCCAAATTATGACTTTTTTGTGATTACTTTCTTGTAAAATTTCAAATGAACCAGTACCTTGACTAACCAGAACTTAAAAAAACAACAGCGCTGTCTCATGCTGAGCTGCAAACTTGTGGAGCTAAATATTTGACTGCTATAAATGGCCAATGCACTATTGAAATTAAAGGATCCTCCGCTTCAATGGAGCTACAGTGTTTTGCAGCAGCTAAAAATCTGGCCAATGGGATCACTTTTTACATCCATCCCTAATATTTTCCCTTTAACTAAACAAGTGTATCATCTGTTGGGTTTTCTAGTGTAACTGGCTCTCAAGCTGTCCGGTCTGCAGCTTTCAAAATGGCCAAAAAAATCATCCTGAGACCCTTCATATCTCATACTACTTTGAAATCACAAAAGATTTCAGTCACAAGAAGAAAAAATTGGGACACTTCTAGGTGGTGGTGGTGGTGGTGAGGGGTTGACTAGTGCGGCTGGGAAAGCGCTTAAAGTCTAAAGTAACTTGGATATCCTGCCAGGCCATCATGATTACAACATCTAACTTTCCACTTGTACGGAAAACAAAGCAGCAATTTTCTAGGTTGCTACAGATTGGAAGACTGAAAATTCTATGATTTCCTGTGCTAGCAACTTCTATATCCTGGCTCTCAAACAGAGAAATCAAACTGGAACCATAGACCAATGACAGTAATGGGATTTCAACAGACTGCAACAGGAGTCAGAAGACTAGAAAGAGGAAAACAAATATGCACAATACCAAAGAAAATGATATAGCCTGACAAACTGGAATTATGCAGTTGGCTTTCACACATTCAGTCTGACCATTTCAAATGTAACTCTTGTTATTTGACTTCAGTGCCAGCTCAGTCTTGCAACTAAACAAGACAGCCAACTAGCTATGTCCTCCTTTTGTCTTTTTAATCATTTGCTTTGCAGTTTCTACAGAGCCATGCTTTTGCTATCCATAGGAGTGGAGCAACAAGATGGGTAAGCAGGATCTCACCGTAATTAGCATTTCTCCTCAGGTGTGGGTGTCTTAGACGTCCATCCTTTCGCAGGCTGCCAATAATGATTGTGACACAGGACAGAAACAGCACCAGTCCGATCACTACTCCAGCTACCAGGAGAGGAGAGACAAGCAAGCTGGTATCATTGCTGTTTTCGCTGTAGCCAGGAAACTCATTGATAGGGCTGCTCTGGTTTGAGTGAACTTCTGCATGAGAGAAAAGAGAGAGTGAGCATAAATGGTGCTGAAAGAGACAGACAATGTTGATTTAAAGCTGTTGGGTATGTAACCAACAACCAGAGCAACAAGTTACAAATAGGATTTTATCTTGGACAGTCATTTGCATTGTACAGATTACACCTTGCCCCTAATGATCTCCTTGTGGAGTTGTTCATATTTTTCCCCAAAAGATCATTTAAGAGTAAGACTATCCTGGATCCCAGCCAGTAAAACTTCCTCTATAGAGCTGCACGTATTCACCTCAAGGGCTAGAAGCCAACTGTAGCTTGTTTTATTCTCCCCTCCTGATTATTGTTTCGTTATCTTATTATTTGCTACCAGGACAGACAGAAATACAAATTAGAGTGATATCTGCAGTGGAAATAGTTGTCTTGAATCTGAGTAAACTGTCCATCTGGAATACTTGGGTAGAAACTTTCTGGTTCATCTGACAGAGTTCTCATTCTCAGGATCTGTCTACACTTGCACCCTCTTTTGAGAGAAGGATGTAAATGCAGACATTCAAAATTGCAAATGAAGTGGGGATTTAAATATTCTATGCTCCATTTGCATAATCACTTCTGGACCCTATTTCAAAATAGTGCTATTTTGAAATAATAAGTGCTGTCTAGACACGATTATTTCGAGTGAAAACCCTTCTTTCGAAATAACTGCTAAACCTCATTTTATGAGGAGCAAGGGTTATTTCGAAAGAAGGATTTTCTCTCGCAATAACACCGTCTAGTGAGGAGCAAGGGTTTTGAAATAGTGCTATTTTGAAATAGTGCCTGGACACAATTTTGCAAATGAAGCACCGGGTATTTAAATTCCCGCTTCATTGGCCATTTCGAATGTCTATTTGTATCCCCCTCTTGAAAAAGGGTGCAAATGCAGACATACCTTTAGATCTTAGATGCCCACTAATATTAAAATGGGAACTTTGTCAGCTTGGTATGGTGTTTTAAATGTATTAAAATAACTAGAAGATTTATTGGGTGTTGTTGCTTGGATCCTTAACTCAATTTTTGTTTTTTTGGAAAATAAAATCAAACTGTACATGCTTTTTTAAAATCATTGCTCTGGAGTAGAGCTGAGGATGAGGGGTTCAGTATATAGCTGCCCCAGGGAGAGAGGACAACCCCAGCCCTTCTCAATGTAGCAGCTTGGGGTGAGAAGTGCTTCTCCACTGGCTGCTGCAGCTCCAGCAGGCACATCTGGGGGAAGGATCCAGGTTCGTCTGCCCCCTACTCTCCCCAGCCAGAGTGAGGAATGCAGCAAACTGTGAACTTCCCCCCCCCCCCCACCCCCACTGGGGGGGATGGGGGGGGGGCCAGCCAGCAATGTTTCTGTACAGAGTGTGTGTGTGTGTGTGTGTGTGTGTGTGTGAGGGGAGGGAATTCAGCCCCTTCCGTCCCCACTCCCAAAGGGCACGGGGAAGATGGGAGCCTTGGGGCTGGGTCAGCTATGAATGGGGGAGAGTGTGCCTGTAGTCAGTCCCTTAGCTGCCTGGTGATTGTCTCCCCCACCACCTGCACCCTTATGGCTTGATGAGAAGCAATCCCATTCCAGGCCCATCCTATTCTCCTGGCACAATGAAACTCTCACCTTTTCTTTAAGTTCATACCAAATTTGGTGGTCCTAGCTCTTACCATTTAGGAGGAGTTCTTGGAAGGACAGACTCTCTCAAATATTTAGTAGGTTAATAAACACTGACAGCTTACTCTTCAGCAATTAATGGCAGTGCATCTGCACTGCAGCATCTCTGCAGGCTGTTCCATGCTCGAGTGTAACTTAACAGTCCTGATTATCTAGTCGTCTTATCATGTACAACCATTTGTACACCTTCAAAGAACTTGTGCTATGAACAATGACCCTACTACCTAGAAAAGTCCTATACTAATACGCATCCCATCAACTAATAATTTTCCATTCTAGTGCTTACTTAACATTAAATATAAAGTTCTATAAAGGAACTGTACAGTTCAAATACCTGCGTGTTCTTTAACTATGACAATGAATAGTGAAAGGAAGATAAATATTCAAATAGTTCACAGTTCATACAGTTGCTAAAGCAAATGTATAACGAGCAGTGCATTACAGACAATGGAGGAATCTGTGGTATTTGCTCGAGACCAGCAGACCAGGGAGACGGGGAGCAGCAGACCAGGGAGACGGGGAGCAAAGCCTCTGCGGACGCCGGCAGCGGGACCCCGGGGCTTTCTCCGCATCTCCCTGGGCTGCCCGAGCCCCTCCGTGGCTTTGCTCCGCGTCTTCCTGGTCTGCAGACCAGGGAGATGCGGAGAAAGCCCCGGAGTACACGGGCGGCAGGACCGCGAGGTCCCGCAGTCCATGTCCTCCGGGGCAGCCCCGTTCGTAACTGCGGATCCGACGTAAGTCGGGGACTGCCTGTAACCGGATTGCTTGGAAATAGTGACCATATTTGCCTCTTGGGCCAAATCCTGTGCTCCACTTAGGACTAAATCAAGAATTGTTTCTAGCTTCTTTCCCAGTATCAAAAGTTCGCTAATACCATTAACAATTCTACTAAATAGTTGTGTGGGGAGTTGATCCCTCCCCCAGTGTATTTTCTATACACTTCTTTCATTCTTATTTCATGTTGAAACTGTTGTATGACTTTGGTCTTGGAAATGGGGCAAATAAATGCATTTCTGGCTTTCCATACTTATTTTTTTAGAAACTTAATTTCTTATTTTTTTCAGGATGTACTTAGAATCATAGAATACTAGAACTGGAAGGGACCTCGAAAGGTCATCAAGTCCAGTTATTTGCCTTCATGGCAGGACCAAGCACTGTCTAGATCATCCCTGATAGATGTCTATCCAACCTGCTCTTACATTTTAAAAAATGGTACAGGCTGACATACACATTTAGAAGTTTTGTATGTGCCACATTTTATGTACCAGAGGGAGATTGTCTACAGAAAGGGAATATAACATTTCTTTACACATTCTTGCTAATAAAAGTTGTTCCTGCAAATATTCCTAAAAAGCAAATGTGAGTTCTGTAAAAGTAATAGGCATTTTTTATTGGAATGGATGTTAACAGATATTTTTCTGCTGTATTCATCCAGTTCTTGCTACTGTGTGATACTTCTAGTGTCTTGCAGCCACACTTTGTTTGCAAAGAGGAGCAGTCTGTACATGATGGCTTCAGGCCAACATGTATTAATCAGGGGCTAAAGCATGACCCTCAGTTTACTAGGTTGTGGGATAACCCTCTAGTATGCGTGAAATGTTTTTAATTTTTAGCAGCACTCAAGTGTTGACTGAGTATATTTATGGGCATTTAAGAGAGCTTTTAAGAAAAGTTACAATGTTTTACAAAGTTTTGTGTACCAAAAGATTAATTATCCTGAAGCACAAGTTGGCTCCTGAATGTAATTTTTTTTTAATCTTACGATTTTACACAAATCAAAATGCACGGCTCCCCACTTTCACTGCATGTAACATGTATTTGGGATTAGCTGATACTGAGGACATTGTATTAGGTGTCACAATTAATGGCTAGGCCTGGGCCAGCACACTGCCACCAGGCTGCCCCATGCCAAGTTGGAGCAGCCGGGGCCCCACCTGCTTCCCCCAGGCAGGCAGGGTCCCGATGGGTGATACAGGTGTGGCCCTGCCTGCCACCCCTCACAGCAGGCCAGACTAAGGGTGTGTCTAGACTACCTAGTTTTGTCGACAAAAGTGGACTTTTGTCGACAAAACTATACCAGCGTCTACACTACCGCGGAGTTCTGTCGACATAACGTCGACAGAACTCCGCAGTTTTGTCGACGCTGGTATACCTCATTTTACGAGGCATAACACTTTCTGTCGACAGAACTCTGTCGACAGAAGGTGTTATTGCCTGTAACACTGCGTCCAGACTACGGAGTTCTGTCGACAAAGCGGCTTGCTTTGTCGACAGAACTCCATGTGTCTGGACGCAAATTGTCGACGGAAGTTTTGTCGACAGTATCTGTCGACAAAACTTCCGTCGACAAAACGCGGTAGTCTAGACGTACCCTAAGGCAGGGCTTTTCCAGTCTGCTGAGGATGGTTGTGAAACCAGTTAATGGATAAGCATTCCAGTAAGCCTAATGTTGACCAGGTAACTGGTTAAACGCTTAACCTTTTACACACCTACCAGCCAATATAACGACAACATGAGACTGAGTCTTGACGTGGCAACAGACGCTATCAGGCAGATTGTCAGGCATTTTTAGCAGAACTGAATTAAAGCCACAAAGACACTCGCACAATGACATCAAAATATTTATTTTAAACAACTAGCAGATGGGAATATGAGATTACTAAAGCAGAGATTCTTCTGTCAGTTTGCGGGGGCGGGACACAACCCTATTCTCAAACAGTTCTTATAAAAGTTACATTCTCTGCGTATGTCTACACCAGGAATGGGCAATAATTTTTGACCAGGGCCACTTCAGAAATTTTTGAAGTGGCGCTGGGCTACCCCAGAAGGGGCAGGGCCCCAAGTGGAAGAGGCCCTGATTGGCCTGGGGATGAGGGAGTGTGCAAAGTCTTTGCCGTCCCCAGAGAGAAGTGCCAGCTGTTCTGCTCCTGGCAGTGGGCGGAGACTTCATGTGCTCTCCCCTGTTGCCCCCAGGTCAATCAGGGTCTGGGGAAAGGGAGCACGTGAAATCTCTCACTCCTGCCCCTGCCCCTGCAGCATGTGGTTGACTTTAAGTGCTGTGAGCCCCTTGCAGGGCGGGAGGAGACTTCATGTGCTCTCCTGCCCCCAAGCCCCGATTGGCCTGGGGAAGAGGGAGGAGGAAGTGTGTGGAGTCTCCTCCCACTCTGCCAGGGGAGTGTTAGGGCCTTCATGGGCTGGATCAACTCGCTTGGCAGGCCAGATCCGGCCTGTGGAGGCCCTTTTACCCACCCTGGTCTACACAGTAGCGCATACCTTGAAATAAGCTGCGCAATTTGAGCTAAGGAAATTGCATAGCTTATTTTGAAATTTGG